CAATTAAAAGGAGAGGAATGATGATTGTACTTTCATCAGTCCTCTCCATATCAAGGGTGCTATCTGTCACGAGTGACAGATGGACATCATCGGGAATGGAAAAATGCCATCGAAAACCAGAAATTTGATCCACAGAAAAGAGGTCTTTCAAATGTTTTGCCATCCTAGCCAGTCTAAGGAGTACGCTAAACTAAAAATAAACAAGGAAATGGGATTCGAAATGAAGGAGAAGAGAACTTACAAGAAGCAGAGGAGACAATGAGAAACGAAAGGAGGTTGCAAAGATCACGAAATAGAGGAGATATATCGAAAGGCAGACCAGGAGCTTTGAGTATTCAAAAAAAACATGCATTCGAAGGGACAACAACGTTTTAAATCACAATAAATGAAGGATGCGTACGAAGGGGCGGGAAATTGTAATGATGACAGAAAAGCGTGTGCGTTCTGACATTCGCATTGGAATGAGGTTAACCGTCGAATTTTTTTTTTGACTTTTCAAGTTCGAAACCAAACACGCCAACTAACTATTGTTAGTGGGGTGTTTGGGGGGCAATTATGGGAGCCGAATATCAGGGGATGCAAAGAGGCCAAGTATACATTTGGAAAATCAAGATATATATTATATATTCGGCCCGGTCTTATGCCATCCAGAAGCCGAGTATCCTAATCAGCCATAGAACCAGTTGAGCGAGGAGCCAAATGGGAATTGGTTTACGACAGAAGGAGCCGACTGAACAATCACACGGTGGATTAAAAGTGGGCCCGACCCTGAGGCTTAATGGCGGATATAAATAGAGGTACAACAGCCAAAGAAAGGTATGTGAGATAACCCCAAGAAACTTAAGGCATAAGCAAACGTGAGACATATACTGACTTGTCTGTCGGAGTGCTAATTCTAGCACCCCCGACCGGAGTGTTAATCCCTTTTCAGGTGGCAATCAGAGGATCAGGAACGTCTTTCAGGATTCAAGAGTATTTCCAAACCACATTACCACAAGTACAAACTATGGATTTTGAGTTTTTGGATTTGATTGGAGAAGAAATAGTAGTGTTATTGTTTTCCTGAGACTAGAACTAAGCATTACCATCAGCAACATGCCCTAATTCTGGTCAATAAAATGAATGGGGGTGGTGTTTCCTTTCAATTTATAAAGTAACTCAAAGTTGAGTTTTGCACCTGTTTTTGTAGTTAGTAGACTTAGGTTCCTTATCATAAATGTTATATATTGCAGAATAAGGTTCAATAGCTTCACAAGCCTTCTACAGAAAAAAGGTCAATGTCTATCAAAGATGATGCAATTGTTCAAGCGTTTGGTCCAGAACGTCGTGGTAGTGTAAGCTGGCTTGGATTTGGAGCATTGCCATCGAAAGTTGATGCACAAGCATATCAAAATCAAAATATGAGACAACTAAATCAAAAATTGCTGCTTTTAGAACAAGAACTCCAAGAGATGAAAGATGAAATGTTAAAAGGAAAAAAGCTGAATGAGGTAAAAAAAAAAAAATTAACAATGTGACAATATGTGTTATATATATTGATGTTTCATAGTTGTTCCTAAAAAATTTTCAATTAAAACTTGTAGGAACCAAGCGACGATGCAACGGGAAAGAAAAAATCTCATGAAGAAATCCAGGTAGCTTTTTCTAATTCTTTTTTTTTTCTTCTAATTTTATGAAAAGAACTACACAGTCCATAGACTTCTATTTAAATTTACGAGTAATTACAGTTTACCCCCTCATGGTTTGGTTCAAAAACACATAAGCCCTCTTATTTCTCTATCTACTCAACCACCAATACCCCCCTCCTATTGGAAAAAAAGCTTAGACTTTCACTGTCTACAGCTTTGGCACTTGGGGCTGTGGGTACTTCACCTACTTTAAGGTAAGGATTGTTATTACTTTAAGTACTTCTTTATTATTGAGTTGCTCAATAATAGGATGCATTTGAGGATTGTTATTACTTTACGGACTACTGTACACAGAGTTAAACATGTGATGGAGATATTAAGAGCAATGTTCTCAGAACAAAAACGGCATGGTGCGCCTGACAAACCTCCTTCAATAGTCTAGACCTATAACTTGGATACTAGCAGCATGTGCATGAATGGGAAATCATTGTCCAATTGTCCATGTTGAATTTTTCACTTCAACTCAAAAGATTAGAGCCACCAAAATTCATGATGACTTATTTGTGAGTTTTTTTGGGTTATTTATATGGGAAAAGATTAAATGCTCACTGACTTTCAACTTGTGAAAATCCATTGTTCCTTATTTTTACAACACTGGGTGAACAAATTTGTCTTCCTATAAAATTTAACTGTTTTTTACTTTGGTGCTTCCCATCTTAGATATAAGGATATTTTACAAAGTACAGTCCATAGACTTCTATTTAAATTTACGAGTAATTACAGTTTACCCCCTCATGGTTTGGTTCAAAAACACATAAGCCCTCTTATTTCTCTATCTACTCAACCACCAATACCCCCTCCTATTGGAAAAAAAGCTTAGACTTTCACTGTCTACAGCTTTGACACTTGGGGCTGTGGGTACTTCACCTACTTTAAGGTAAGGATTGTTATTACTTTAAGTACTTCTTTATTATTGAGTTGCTCAATAATAGGATGCATTTGAGGATTGTTATTACTTTACGAACTACTGTACACAGAGTTAAACATGTGATGGAGATATTAAGAGCAATGTTCTCAGAACAAAAACGGCATGGTGCGCCTGACAAACCTCCTTCAATAGTCTAGACCTATAACTTGGATACTAGCAGCATGTGCATGAATGGGAAATCATTGTCCAATTGTCCATGTTGAATTTTTCACTTCAACTCAAAAGATTAGAGCCACCAAAATTCATGATGACTTATTTGTGAGTTTTTTTGGGTTATTTATATGGGAAAAGATTAAATGCTCACTGACTTTCAACTTGTGAAAATCCATTGTTCCTTATTTTTACAGCACTGTGTGAACAAATTTGTCTTCCTATAAAATTTAACTGTTTTTTACTTTGGTGCTTCCCATCTTAGATATAAGGATATTTTACAAAGTTTGTAAAAATCAAAAATTGATTAATACTTGTAGGAGCCAAACAAAGGGGCAAATGGACACTCATATGGAGAAACCCAAGTAAACTTGCACATTTTCTTGTGCTTTTGCTTGCTTGTTTTTCTACTCAAGCTTGTCATTTTGCATATGGATTACATCAAGATTCTAAATTTAAGTAAACAAATGCTTCTTGCCATTGTATTACAATTTTTAAGGTGAGGAAATCGGTAAAGGTGAACATAGGGTGCATGGAGGTGGTGAACGTAATATTCCCTCACAACAAAATATTTGCGTAAATTTTGTATAGCATTATTAATTTACTCATTTGCATTTTTCTCGTGCTTCTGCTTTTGTTTGCTTGCTTGTTTTTTTACTGAAGAGCTTTTGTCAAATTTTCATATACATCCCACATCGTCTACTAAATTTGGATAAACAAATATAACTCTTGTGGGTTGAAGATTCTTGCTTCTGTTGGACAACCCCAAATATGTAAGTGTCTCAAACTAGGTTTCTTACTAGTCCACAACTCAAAAGGAGTTGTTGGGACCACGTTACTAGGTATCCTATTTAAAATATACATTGCAGTCTTTAAAGCTTCACCCCACAGTGAAATGAGTATAATTAAGTGACTTAACATACTCTTAACCATATCTTTAAGTGTACGATTACGCCTTTCTGCAACTCCATTTTGTTATGGCGTACTAGGAATTGTATATTGAGCACGAATGCCTTTCTTTTCTAATGGCAAATGGCCAGGATTTTGGCCTGACTCATTATATTTACCATAATACTCACCACCCCTGTCTGATCTCACTATTTTAACCTTTTTATCTAATTGTCTTTCGACTTCAGTTATGTACACCTCAAGGATGTCAACAGCTTGAGACTTTTCATGAATTAGATACATATATCCATAATGTGAAAAATCATCTATAAATGTGATGAAATATTATTCACCACTAAGGCATAGGATGTTGAGTGACCCGCAAATATCTATATGGATTATCTCAAGAAGGTCATTACTTCTTGCGGCACATTTCTTAGTGTGCTTGGTTTGCTTTCCTTTAATGCAATCCACATATATCTCAAAATCAATGAAGTCTAGGTTTTCCAAAATCTTATTCTTTACCAATTTTTCAATTCTATTTCTAGAGATATGCCCACAACCGTCTATGCCACAAGATTAAGGATTTTTCATTAATTAGACTATGTTTTAAACCAATATTCAAATGCAAAGTTACTAATAATTGTGCAAAGTCATGATTTAAGGAAATTTTATATAAACCATCACATAAATTACCAGAATCAATTATTATTGAATTAAACATTAAATTGAGTGTTTCATAACTAAATAAAACTGAATATCCAACACGATCAAATTTGGATAACGAAACTAAATTTCTAGAAATTGAAGGAACATAAAAAGTGTCTTCTGGATCCATCTGATGACCTGTCTCTAAGATCAGTTGATAGGTTTCTGCAGCTACCACTTTAGCTTTGAGACGATTCCCCATATAGACAAATCTTTCATTTTCATTTGATTTCCTAGTTAAAAGGTATCCCTGCATGGAATTTGTAATGTGGGTCATGGCCCAAGAGTCAATCCACCAAGTATTAAAAGGTACTTCAGCAAGATTTGATTCATAACAAACAAAAGAAAGTTTCATACATTTCTTTTCGAACCAAGCCTTTCGCTTACTGCAGTCTTTCTTCACATGTCCTTTCTTGCCACAAAAGTCGCACTTGACAGTGAACCCATTCGGAGCCTAATTTTCTTCCCCAGGTCCATTATTTTTCTTGGGTGGATTTTTCTTTGATTTTGCAAACTGACCCTTCTTTTTCTTTATAGCTCCATGAGTTATAGCTAATGTAGTTTAGCATCCTTCCTCCCTCAACCTCACTTCCTTCTAAACACCAATATTAGTCAGCTCATTCAAACTCCACTTATCTTTATTTGTAGTGAATTTTGAATGCATCGAACTGTGATGGAAGTGAGTTGAGAATAAACTGCACAAGGAAAGTTTCATCAACTTCCATCCCTAAAGTTTTAAACTTTACAGCTTTGTTAGCCATATTGAGGATATGATCCTGAACTCCTCGATTGCCATCATATTTTATTATTGTCAATTTAGCCATAATAGTGCTAGAAAATGACTTGTCAGCAAATCTAAATCGATCTTCTACAGCCTTTAAGTATTCCAATGCATTAATAGTTTGAGGTAAAGAGGTCTTGATGTTATTTTCAATGGTCATCTTCATGAACATCAAACTAAGTCTATTGGCTCTCTTCCATGATTCAAAAAGGACAACTTGTTTTGCAGTGCTATCTTCAGTAATGTCTACAGGTTTATCTTCAAGTAATGTCATATCGAGGTCCAACACACCAAGTGTAAACTGAACATCCTCATACCATTCCGAAAAATTCGAGACAGTAAGTAGAGGGACGCCTAATGCAAGAGAGTGCAATGAGGTGGGAATTGTCACTGAAATAAGATAGAACAATATACATATTAAAGCTTTGAGAATTATAATGATAAACTATTAATATCACATAAGTCTTTCCTTTGAGCAAAACTTAGGTATATCTATTATCCACTCGTCAAAAATCACTTATGTAGGTCTAAAATAATGTATGCAACTTTTCAGTTAGTTATGTTTCCTTTGGATATTCAATTCTAATTTGTTAAATTACATAAATTACATTTCCCTACCCAGTTCATAATTATCTGAAAGTGACTCTCTTTTAGGCTAGTCTCAATCTCCTAATTATAACTGCAATTGAGAATATTATTGATCTTAATGTTACCCTTTTAACAATTCTTTTATGTAGTTCTATATTCATAAGTTTTGCAAATCTATTAGTAAACTCTATGAATACGGAACTAACCGACAATGTTCTCTATTTATTAATTTGATTTATTTAATTATAATTAATTCAATCACTATTTTAATAAAATCACTATTTTATGATATCTAGAATTTCTTTTATGTGATTACAATTACCAATATAATAATAAAAACTTTAGACAAACATGAATATATATATATATATATATGATACAGTATTATATATGGCTACACATGCACTGATATATATATCAAATTATACAATATGACAATCATGAATATCTCATATAATGGTCAACAAGAATTACACCTAACATGAATTAACCACCTCAATATTTAATATTCAATGTCATAAAATTATATCATGATATTAAATTTAAATCATGAAAATATGTAAATATTAATATTTATTAACAACAATAATAGCCAATAAGTGTACATAATCAGACAAGGAAAGGCATAATTCTCTAATGTAATACAGTCAAATAAATATATTTATTTAATAGACTGAACGATTCAACGAAATTTTGAAATTGCTTTTAATCTATACACTTTGTCATAACAACAAGCAATATAAATATTACACTCAATTCAGTGTCATATTATGATGATTATAAAAATTATTATTGCTAAAATTAATAATAAATCGAAGCATGCATATTACACATTTATCAACTTTAGGCCTTGTTCATGTAAAGATCAAATAATTGACGAATAATTATTTATATCTATACTATGTATTAAGCAAAAGAGGGTTTTTAGCCCCAAGCTTTGTGGCAGATCCAATCCCCAATCTAAATTTCTTGATTTTTTGACTTTAAAAAAAAATCTTAGCATTTATTAACTTCTTCCACCTCCCAAGTCTTACCCTCATAATAATACTTTAATGCATTAAGAGCAAGCATAAAAAAAATTCTTTCAAATCCAACACATATGAATTCCTTAAAAAGTCCCAACAAATATGATCATTATCCCTCATAATAACACTTTAATGTATGAAGAACAAGCATAAAAAAAATTTCTTGAAAAGTCCAACACATATGATTATTATCAAAATATTAAACTGTAATATAATATAATAAATAAATAAATAAGACATTTAATTCCTTGAAAAGTCCAACATATATGATTATTATCAAAATATTAAACTTTAATATAATATAAAAAAGGAAAAAAAGAAGACATTTAAAAAAAAATTAAAAATCACAATTCACATATATAGATAATTGTAAACACAATCCATGCATAGCACGGGTGATATGCTAGTATTATATAAGAAAAATGGGATTTCTAATCCACAAGCCTTATAAGAGCTCTAATATCCCAATCTTAATTTTCTAATTTTTTATTTTTTTTTAAAAAAAAAAATCAGCATTTATTGACTTCTCCAACCCACAAGCATTTTTGACTTCTCCCATAGTTACTACAGCACCCTTTTCAATTTTTCTCATACACTATGGTTAGTGATAGAATTATTAAATTACTTTTATAAAAAATCTAAAAAAAAATTAATTTGTATATTAAAAAAATCTAAAACAAATATAAATATTTATATCTATATCTATATCTATATATGTGGGTGTTTGGAAAGGGATTATTTTAGAGATTTTTTGATTTTTTGGCTATTTTAGTAAGCTATTTTAATTTTTGTGTTTGGGAAGATAGGATGTATTTTTATTTGAGTTGTTACATTGAAAAATGTGTTTGAAATGATGTTCAAGGTTGAAATGACAAATTTGTCGCTAACTTCACTTTTTCCAAAATTGGTCTATAGGGGCAAAAGTGTCATTTCAGCCTGTGAGACTAGGCTGGCCCTACCTTCTGCCTACCCTCTACCCACTGCTGGCTGCTTTGGTTTTTGTTTTTTTTTTATAAATATAAACTATTAGTTTAAGGTACTATTTGAGGCTATTTAGTTTTTTTTTTGTATTTGAGGCTATTTTAGCCTCAACTTTGGGTTTCCAAACACCCCCATTATATAAGGAAAATGGTTTCTAATGAAAAACTTCCTAAGAGTTCTAAACTCTCATTATAAAATTATACATTTTTAATCCACAAGCCTTGTGAGAGCTCCAATATCGCATTATTAATTTTCTAATTTTTTGATTAAAAAAAAAACTCAGCATTTATTAGTTTCTCCCAACCCACAAACCTTTTTTGCCTTCTCTCATAGTTACTGCAGGACCCTTTTCAACTTTTCCCATACACTATGGTTAGTGATGGAATTGTTAAATTACTTTTATTAAAAAAAATCTAAAAAAAATAATTTGTACATTAAAAAAAATCTATAGCAAATATAAATATCTATATCTATATCTATATCTATATACTATATATAAACAAATGTAATGTATTCTTAAAATTCTTCAAAACCTCAATACTAATATCTCAATGTTCTCTCTCCTGCATGTCAGTTTCTGAAGACTCCCTACCTCATTTCCCTAATTTCTAATTTTTTAGTCTAATAAAATTCAAATAAATATTTAAAAAATGAAATAATGAAATTTAGATATAAATAAGAATATGATTTGTTAATCTATGTCTACCAAAAGCATTATCTAAATCTTTATTTGGATTTATCTCTATATTTTCTCTCCCTCTATCGCATATATTAAAAATTAAAAAATTTGAAATAATGAAATTTAAATAAGGATATGATTTGTTCTTATCTATAACTTCGTATCTCCTTTTAAATTCTTAATCTTCTGCTCATAATTTTTATTATTCGTTATTATGGATTAAGTGATAAAGATAAAAGATTTTTGTTTTTTTTTTTTTCCAATCAATACTTATCCCTTTTGTTTTTTTTTCTTTTTCTCCTTTATCTTTGACTTTCCATAGTTTAATTTCTTAAGATGAAGAAGCACAAAACGCACAAGAGCACTTTGAATGTCCATATTTTCAAATGATTTAGGATTTTATTCATATGTGCCTTTATGTTCAAATCATTTTATGTTTTGAATAAATTGTACTTAGATTTGGTTAGATTATCTCTATTTAGTTGTTGATTGCATACTTTTGGGTGCAAAGAAATTATATTATTAGAATGTAATTCCATATTGTTTGAAAATTATTTAAGAATTTGTTATGAATTCATACAGATGAATAAGAACAGTATTAATGATAGGATGACGAAGGCTACATAAGAGGAGGTAGTACAAAAATCTTGCAAAATAAATTTCCGTCACTATATTTATTTAAGGTAATGATTTGATGTTATTTCTTTTAACTATTTAAATAGTTTGCATTGGATCATTGTTATGTGTGTGTGTGTGTGTGTGTGTGTTTTTGTTTTTTTGGTTATAGTATTTCTTCAATCCCATGTCAATTTAGTATCTCTTTGAAAATTTTGTTTTTCTAATAATGAAGTTTAGAATTAATTTCTTAACAAATTTGTTTTCTTGATACTTATTTTATTGAAGGATCCATATGAGTAACACTTTCATACGACATATGAAATTAATGAATAGAACACAAAGATGGTAGGGAGGTACTACATATTTGTCGATCTCTCTTTATTATTATTAATTGATTTTCTACATTATACTAACAATTTAGAGCTCATATGATTTAATTTAATTTCCATGACTTTAGTTGCATTCGACCATTGTTTTGTTGAGTAGCCTATATAATTTATTTGTTAGTATATAATGATTAAAGCTATCATTTATTATATTTCTTCAAATGCAATTCAAATCGTTTGTCATCATTTTCTTTTTATAAATAAAATGGATTAAAACTATAATTTTTATAATCTTACTAAGTTCTTATTTTGATTTTTTCCCCTTAAATATTGTAAGAACTGTGCAAGTATTATTTAAGCAATGAAGAAAATGATTATGGAGAAGGAATTATACTCATGATATGCATGTATCATTGATAGAAGAGATCAAAGATAGAGAGTTGCTAATATGATCAATTGATGATTTATTCATTTGCTTGAGAAGTTTTTTTTTTCTATGAGCAGGGTAACAAACTCATATTAAAAAAATTCAAAAAACTACATAGAAATTATAATTAAAGATTGAAATTTATTCATAATTTGATGCCACAATAATAACGTTAAATACACACCATTGATTTAAAAGTGTAAGTAAATTTATGATTACTTTTTGGAGTTTATAGAGTTTATCTCTTTCAATGCTCTTTCTTTTCTTTTTCTTTTTTTTTTATTTTTCTCCTCTCTCTCTCTCTTCTCGCATGATGCTATAGTTTGATACAAATTATTTATGCTATCAAGTGATTGTGATACTATTACCCCCAACAATCTTCATAATTAATAATTTTTTATGCATATCAAATTTTATTGTGAAATTTTGTGAGTTAATTATTGTTAACATCTACCATGATGGCCCAACATCATGGCTTGCCGTAATTAAAACATAATTCAAAATTAAAATAATTTATTTATCACACAAAATATATATTGTCTTTTTTCTGTGTATCACACGGTTACCGCTAGTATTAGGAAATGTGTTTTTAATGAGAAACCTCCTAAGAGTTCTAAACTCTCATTATAAAATTATTAATTTTTTAATTTATAAAATAGATTAAAAAAACCTATTGGTTGATTTATTTATTTAATTATTTTAGAACTAATAATTATCCCTTAATTTATGGATTTCAAATGGGAAGATAACAAAAATATTTCATAATCTCTCCATCATAATCTCTTTCACTAATTTTCAAAAAAAAAATTTAAAAATTTCATTCCATTTCTCTCCTTCAAAAAATCAGATAATATTTTTCATGAAAGTTGTGGTTGTCTATCTATATCTTATATATTATATTATAACATAACCAAAAAACAAAAAAAAAACAAAAAACAAAAAACTAGATATATAATCAGATAAAATTAATAAATTTGATTTTTATTTATAACCAGGCCATCCTTATTATATCCATGCTTCTCTGGTTCGGTTTCCATACTCTTGAGCGTGTCAGCCACCAATGATTGTGCAAAAGAAAAAGAAACAGAAAAAGAAAAAGCAAAAGCAAAAGAAAGAGAAGAAGACAAAATATGCAAAAGAAAGAAAAAATATGTGAAAAAAAAAGAAAGAAAAAAAAGGAAAAAGATTCATTGATTGAGGGGGAGCCTCCGCCTTTACTCACCAAATACCCCTTGATTCCTAGTGGTTTGACTTTCCTTTGTCATGCTTAAGATTCTCTTGTCAGAGGTCCGGCTTTCATATCACTACTAGGATTGCATCTAGTGTTTGTCGAACTCCAAGAGTCACACACACACTTTTTTTTTCATGAGATCTATGCTTTTCACATAATGCATCACTTTTTTTCATGAGGAATTTTCTACAGACTGTGCACATTGTGTTTTCTTGTAATGGTGCTTCTTGGATAATCTTATGTGTTTTAAAGTACTAATCTGAAATTCCTTGCTTGCTTCACCATATTTTTTTGTCGTTTTCTTCTTGTTCACTGTTTTCAGTATTCGTGGTTGATTTTAGTGAGGGGGAGTTTGGTTTCTCATTGCAAGAATTGTTTAGCATGAACACTTTGATATGTTTGGTAAGGGAGATTGGTTATATGTTTTGCATGTTGCTATGCACTATTTGCCTTTTTTGTATGTTTCTGATATCTACATCGTCATATCATTGTTTGTGTGGTTTATGATCTTGCTTTGGTTGTTTGAGAGTTGTTGTTCATGAGTCTTAGTTTTCATCTATTCAGGGCAAAAGTGTCATTTCAGCCTGTGAGACTAGGCTGGCCCTACCTTCTGCCTACCCTCTACCCACTGCCGGCTGCTTTGGTTTTTGTTTTTTTTTTTTATAAATATAAACTATTAGTTTAAGGTACTATTTGAGGCTATTTAGTTTTTTTTTGTATTTGAGGCTATTTTAGCCTCAACTTTGAGTTTCCAAACACCCCCATTATATAAGGAAAATGGTTTCTGTTAGGTTGTATTTCTTGGCATTCCCGTTTGACAAAACTCCTTTGAGTTGTAAATTTATTCGCTTTTTTATTTCAGTGAGGCTATGAGTTGTTAGATGCGAATCCAACCCGAATTGAGTTTGTTCAGAGAAGTTTGTGATGATAAAGCGTTCAAGATTGCCACTTCGCTGATTATGACGGGGATCGAGCTGCCCGGTCAACTCGCGGGGGTCCAGGGGGCAGCGCCCCTTGGCGGGTCTGGGGCAGTGCCACGGTAGGGTCGAGGTTCAGTGCCCCCGAAGCAAAATGCAAAAATGCATTCAAAGTTGCCTGTCCGATCATGTTATATTTTTCCAGATTTCCAGTTTTTCCATTTTTGGCCTTCCCGCTCGAGCGGGGAAAGTGACGCTCGAGCGGGGGTTGGAAGCTCTCAGCATCTCTGCAGTCGCCTGTAAAAATACTGGAAGGTGTGATTTTACGCTCGAGCGGATTCTCCTACGCTCGAGCGCATCTCAGTTTGTTCGCACGCAGTTTTTGGTCAGTCCGCTCGAGCGGACTGTGTTGAGCTCGAGCGGACCGCGCGATCCCAGATTTTCAGATTTGATTAAAGAGTTGGTTTTCTTCTGAAATTAGGATTGCTTTGGTTCTCTATAAATACTTAGTTTTCTCCCAAAACTAGGTGATTGATTTTGGACTTCTCCAGATCTTATTTTTGGATCTGAAGGTTTATATCTGGAGAGATTTTGCTAGTTTTCTTTGATGTTTTGATTGAGTCTTCAACTCATGTTCTAAAGAGAGTACATCAAAGGTTGTGTTTTGTTCTACAAAAGAGAGTGTTGTTCTTCGGTGGATTCTGAAGAATTCGAGCCTGAAGCTTTGGTGGATTCCGGGGTGGCTCATCAGAAAGACAATTTCGTGGTGAAGATGGGGTTGGAAGAGGCACTTAAAGGTTGGTTCAATTAGGCGTTGTGGATTCGCTAGGTAATTGAGAGTATACCTGTGTAATTCCTTTTATTCTTCTTAGTGGATTGTCTTGTGGCTGTTGCCCGTGGTTTTTGATCACAGTTGGAGGTGTCCAATTGTGGTTTTTTCCACGTTAAATTTGTTGTGTCTCTTTGTCTTGATTGTTTGATTGTTTGATTGGGATTGTTATATTCTGCTTAAAATTGATACATAATCACAAATCAACATCTAGGGGATTTCTAGATTTTTCAGTTTCTAATGAAAAACTTCCTAAGAGTTCTAAACTCTCATTATAAAATTATACATTTTTAATCCACAAGCCTTGTGAGAGCTCCAATATCGCAATATTAATTTT